TTTGTTTGCTTTTTTTTTGTTTTTTTTCTTGTTCTTTCTGTAATTTTTGTTTTAGAACTCTTTTTATTTTTTTTATTAGTTTATAACTCTCGTGGTATGTGATCACTCATAATAAATATGAGGAAATAATAAAAAAATCATACAACGAAAACAAAAAAAAAATTATCAAATAAATTCCAAAGATAGATCCTTTTAATAGTCAAATACAAACGGAATTATAAATTTCGAAATTTTTTATTTAATTTTAAATATTTACAAGTAAATTTGTTTTATATTTTTGTTTTAGTTAGAACGGTAACGCGTGTTGAACAAATATCGTGAAATCATGTCATATTAATCAGTTGATATACGATCTATATTCAGATATATCCAGATATCATCTGGATAATCTGAATATCCAGGTATTATCAGATATCCGTTGGATTATCCAGATATTCAAAATTTTGTATCCGTTCAATCTGGATATTCGAATATCTGTTGGATATCTGTTTTTAACGGATAACGGATATAAACTCTAATTTCAAAAAACCTATACTTCTAACTGATTAAATCGGTGCGCAGCAATTTTTGATTGGTTATTTATTTTAATAGGTTTAATTTTTTATCCTTTAGAAAAATTATTCGCTACGTTTCGAAGTTCAAATTAACGGCATCAGTTGAAAATCAAATATTCAAATGGAGAATTTATTTATTTATTTACTTTATTTTATCCTCTTACAGCTTCTGAAAAACTATCACACATTTATCGAAGAGAGAAAAGAAAATTTGATGAAAATAACATCAATTTTTTTTTTAAATAGATGACTTTATGTGTAATTTCTAAATACAAATATTAGAGTAGAGTAATAAAAAAAAATGATTAGTTATTATTAGTTTATAATTATTTAATATTTCAAATAAATAATAAATAATAATCTTTTTTTATCGAATTTTCATAATGGGTAAGAGCATATAATTAACTTTATCATATTATTTGTTTAATTATTAAACTAAATATATTATAAAAGATGATCACAGTCATGTGCTCAAAATTAGCTTATTAGCAAAAATTTCAGATTTTCCCTTTTTACTGACGCCTCCCATTTTCTCATAATTATTAAATAAATCTTAAAGGAAATCAAAATAAAAACAAATAATAAACCTTATTTTTTTAACTTATCTTTTTAATTCAGATTCTAGTGTCTAATATAGGTTTATAAACAATTGTCTAAATCAAATAGTAAAACTGCAGCCTAAAATAGATGCAGTCTTCTACTACCATTCTTTTCGTCAGGGACTGTATATTATTTTAAAAAAGATAGTGTTATATCTAAATTAAATTGATACTAAGCTAACAAATTAAATATCTTAATAACTCAATTATTTTGAAGGCCTTTTCTAAGAGAAATAAATAATTAATAAACAAAATGATTTATTATCAATATTTATTTGCATAGTTAGTTATCACAATCAAATCCTTATAAGAAGCAAGAAGAAAGTTGAAAGTGTAAATAGTAACTTATTAATTTATAGAATTATTTGACAAACTCTATTGACTCAAGGTCAAATTACAGGTCTATTTATATAAAATTGCTAATTATTACTATACTACTCTACATCTTTTAATAATAATATGTATTAGTGTGAGGTAATCTGAAGTGCAGTATGATTTGCGACTAACATCAGGATTAATCTTGATATTTTTTTATTTTGATCTATATTAGATTACCATATCTTATTATAATTTGTTAGTCGTCAAGATCATATAATTTCAGGATTTTGTCACTTGAGAATGTCAGGATTTTGGAGTCAGCATTCTGAACTGTCAGGATTATGAATATCAAAGATATTATTATAAATCCATATTGAAGATCAGCATAATATATGAAAAAGAAGTTTATAAAGATACATAAAATTTAATTAAAAAATTTTCGTGATAAATATAAAAAGATAAAAAGGTAATATCTTGTAAATAAACAAAAATTTGTTTTATTATTTCTCTATTTTTAGTTTCTGCCAATGTATAATATTATACTAAATTAAATGTGTATTGCGAATAATTTATTTTCCTTAGTAATATATTACAACATTAATTATCAAAATATTTTATTTTTATGTAAAATTAATTTTTTACTGTATTATCTTTAATTATTAAATTATGTTAAAGAATAATTTTATATTCATTGTATAGATTTTAATTTAATTACTAATAAAAATAAATTGTCAAAATGTGCTCTTCAAGCTAACAAAATAATTTGCTCATATGTCAACACTTATTAATGGTAATTTATATATCTTAGGTGGTCGAAATAAACTGAAAACTGAAAGAGTCAGAAGAGAATTTTTTTATTTTGGTATTTCTGTTTCATTTAATACTCAAAATATATTATGGCATGATTTAACAAACATTAATACAGTTCCAGCATATTTAGCTACTGCATCTATTAAAGGTGATGCATATAATAACATCTTGTTTTTATATAGAGGAATTCCTTATGATAATACTAAAGCAATAGCTCTAATTTATGCATTTGATACTCCAAGTTATTCATGGGATATATCAAAAATGTCTGGTATCACTATTAGTAGAAAAGATAACCTAAAAGGCATTATTAATGATAATAGAAAAATGTATTTATTTTATAAACATACTAGTAATAATGATTATCGAAATGATATGATTATTTTCGATACATTAAATTTAGATTGAAAAATAGGAAGTTCAATTAATGTGCTTTCTCTAAGATGTGTTTTTAGTTCAACTCTCATCTCCAATTATTTAATTATTTATATTGGTAAGCAAATAATTTTTATAAAATTTTACAATCTATTATCAATTTTCTTGTTTTTAAAATTATTATTATTTAGGTAATACTGATAATCTTGCTTTATCATTAAATGAAGTGAATTTTAAATGAAATAATTAGAAATTGAGAGTTTATATATTTAACAATTAATGAAACTTTAGATATACATGTATGATACGATTAATAATAATTGAGATACAAAAGTAAGTTTGCTTTATAAAGATTTTTAACAGCTGATAAACTTATATTAGATTTTACGTAAGATAACTTCAGAAACAATACCTTCTAACAGAAATTCTTTTTCTACTATTCTTAATAGGTATTATATTATTTAACATCATAATTATTTTAAATTTTAATTAACTATGATATATAAATTTTTCTAATAAAAGATTAGATGGACAACGAGTCATAATTTTCAGAGGGGCAAAGAAATACAAAAATCTTCAATCTCAAAATGCACTTTATATATTAAATTTAATAAATTATGAGTGATACATTTCAAAAATTTCTGGAAAAATTCTGAGTTTCAGATGTTAATATGAAGCAAACATAATTGAAAAATATTTAGTTATATCATTTGGTATGTATACGAATGAGTCAATTTGATTTTAAAATATTAAAACATTTGAATGTTACATAAGAATTAATTTATATATTAAACTCAATAGGTTAAGAATATGAAGATAATGATATTATATTGTTTGATATTAGTAATAATGAAGAATATATTTGAACAGACAGTTTTGATCCAACCATTCCAATAATTAATCCTTCTCTAAAAACTCTATTAACTAATTTTTCAACTGATTCTTCAAAAGTGTAACAAACTGCTTCTCTAACACAATTAACAATAACGCAATTACAAATACCAGTTATGTTTGGTATAATGATAAGATCATTAAATGTTGGATTTTTTTATATAAATAAAATAAAAATAGGAGGAAAAGTGAAAAGGCAATACTAACTACTGAAATTGAAAGAGGTAATGAAGTTGTAGTAATTCCTACTAAAGGATTAATAATTATGAGCAAGGTATGATTTTAAATATACCAGCATATAATAGCACTTACTATCATAAGCAGAACATACTTTTATATTAGGAAATACTTATAAACAACAAATGTTACCAATCTCTCAAAATAATTATAATATTTATAATCAAAATAATTAAGAACAAGTATTATAAAATTCTAGAAATGTTTATAATCATAAAAGTGAAACTTATCCAAACGCCAATATTCAAGAATAATTACTAGTAAAATAGTAAATAAGTTTTTATATTAATCAATTAATTATAATAGTAAAATAAAATTAACAGATTAAAATTTCAATAATTTATCCAACCAATAGTGAAATCAAATAATATCTTCTCAAATTCTTGAATGTATTTTCTATTAATGTTTTATAAAATAAATTATATTTTTTTTATTTCTTATTTTATATTTTGCCTAGAGAAAGAAAATGCTTTTTCTTTTCTTATTTTTTATAAAAAAAGATAAAATACTTTACTTTACGGTCTTATAACTATATAGTTGCAAGGCAAAATCCTAAACCCATTTTGGCAAAAGTAGAAAATTATTTTGACAGTTTTGATATTTTTAATGAGTTTTAACAGGTCTCAAAAGTTTCAACAGTTTCGATAACAACTTTACAAATTTTGATATTTTACAGGTTTATTGTATCACAATATAAATTAGAACAAAGTTTCCATAATAATACATTATTTATCAAGTAGGTTTTAAATTTGAAAGTACTGGTATTTGTTGAAGAATTAGAAAAAATTATCTTTTGTTGAAAAGAGATGATGATAAAGGTTAAAATTGGATTTATTTTTATATCCAGATTTATTTAATTTTACAGTTAATTTCATAAGTTACAGGACAGCCTAGAATATCTGAGACTTTTCTGAGAATATTTATAAGAAATTGAAAAGCTAATCACATTTCAACTAATTTCAAATTTTGCAGTAAATTTTAGTTTATCAGTAATGTCAGATTATTTAGAAATTTCAGAAATATCAGTACCAATCAAATGATTAGAAATTCAGCTCCAATCAAATTTATAGATCAGTTAGCACTAATCAAATATAAATAAATACGTATTCAATTATTTTACTTACATTATTTAACTTTAACAATTAATATTTTATTAAACTTCTGTTTAAATACATTTTGAATTTGTCTCTTATTTGTTTACTATAAGTAAAAAACTTATGGTAAAGATTATCTAAAGAAGTTTTAAAATACATAAAGTCATAAAAATAAATATTTTTGTGTAATTTGATTATTTGATTGACACTGAGAAATTTCTAATCATTTGATTGACACTGATATTTCTGAAATTTTTGAACAATCTGACATTAGGAGTATGTTTAATTCTGATAGATTTTTGTTTAATGCATTACATGCATTAGTTTTTTTGTTAGTGTATTTGATGCATCAAAATTTGCATCAACTAAAATTGAATAGGCCTATTGGCAATAAACTAAAATTTATATCCTGTAACTTTTGAAATTAGCAATAAGCCAAAACTGCTCTATTATATTACTATTAACCAGTCAGTCAATCAATCAGTCAGTTAACCAGTCAATCAGTAAAATACCTTTGACTGCATCCCTAATTTGATAAAATTTGCAGATCTTTATATCATTAAAAAAAGGATAAAAAATGAAAAGTTTAACTTCATGAAGCATTGTGTGATTCATATCACACGAAAATTTTTGTTTTATTAATTTTTTTTCATTTTATTAAGAATCACTAAATTTTTTTATTAAAAAAATATTATATGATATGAATTATATAAAAGAAAAAAAGCATAATGCAACAAAATTTAAATTTAAAAGCATCTCTTTAAAAAAAAATTTTTGAAATTTTATCCTAAACTTTAAAATTACTTTTATTAGAATATTTTGTAATTATCTACCTAAATTTTTCAAACATATTTTCTTTTCTTTTAGAATACTTTTTTTTAATTTTCTACCTATATTTTATAGATGATAGAAATTAAAAAATTATTTTACTGTAGCAAAATTAAAGGTAAGCATATTTATTAAAGGTTCAGGCAAATCCTGATAATTACATCTGATCTAAATCTGAAATCTAGGCAATATTAGTTACGCCTTAACAAAAAATTTCTAAAATGTCTAATTGAGTCTGAACTGTTCAAATCTGAAATTCAATCTGAATTAATTGAAATTCTCTAAAACTTAATTATTCACGTGAAAATCAAATATATAACATTATTGGTAAAACAAATATTAATGCATTCACATCTTACAAAATAGAGGCTAATTTAAGTACTTCAACTGATGATACTTCATTGCCTAAATGAAAAGTTAGTGAAAAACTTAAATCAATAGTTTGAGAACATATATTCAACAAGAAAAGCAAATTTCAAAAGGTCATTAGAATATAATATGTAATTTTGTAGAGCCTTTTGGTATAAAGGCTTATCAGCAACTCTTAAAGACTACTTAGGACATTTGTGTATAAAAGTTTCTAACAGAAATTTAGGATTTTTTTTAGAACGTTTTACAGTAAAACTAGTAAACCTTTTTCAAAAAAATGAAAATTTGATTAACTATTTCAGCCAACTTAAACAAAACTTTCTAATTATATTAAAAATACTAAACTTACACCTAAATATACTAAATAAATAACCTGTGCATTATTAAAAGCATTTATTATTTATGAAATTCCTTTTCATATTATTGAAAATCCATTCTTTATTGAACTGTTAAAAACTTTATGTCCAGCATATGAACTTCCATCAAAAAATATTCTTTTTGAATGACATTTAGTATAAGAAACAGCTTTTATTAATTAAGAAATAATTAAATAATTAAAAAATTCTAAGAATCTAACGTTAGGTAAGTTTTTTTTTATTTTTTTATTTTTATATTTTTATAAAATTAAATTCTAAAAATTATAATGAATTAATTATTTAGCTTGTGATAAATAAAATAATCCTTCTAATGAATCAATTTGGAATTTTATTTTACATATATTTGATCATTATCAATATTTATGGAGTCTTCAAAACTTATTTAATGAAAGGCATACTAAAGAACTATTAGCAAAAGAAATAGATTTAGTTTTAGAAAAAGTTAGTTCAGAAAAAATATCTGCTATTGTAACAGATGCTGGTCCTAATATTCAAGCTATATGGTAAATTATTACTAAAAAATAATTAAGCATTTAAATATTAGATGTATAGCACATGCTATTAATCTAATTTTAAAAGATATTTGTAATACACTATTTGTAGATAGAATGCTTAAATATTATAATACTTTAATTATTTATTTTAAAAAATGTTACCTTACAGGTATGTAAATAAAAATTTATTATTATTTAATTTTATTTATTATTTTAATAAATTCTTTTATTAATATTTTTAATTTAAATTATATTATAGGTGATACTCTTAAAAAACTAGCTGAGAAAAATTTAATTGAGAGTGAAGGTCTTAAATAATGGGTAGAAACATGTTGGCATACAATGTATGATTATGTATTTTCTATTATAAGGTATAAGATACCATTAGGAACTGTAAGTAATAAATAATTTAATTATATTTAATAATTTTAAATTTTAAATTAATTTTATTTATCTTATTTTATTCTTAAAAAATCATAATTAATAATAGCATTAGATTTATTATTGATTTTTGAATGGAAAGAATAATAATAAAAAATTAATATTATGATAAATAATATTTAATATGCTATCAGTGTATTTAAAAAATGTGAGGATTTAATTTTTAATTTTGGTTAGTGTTTTTTGATGATTAACTATTAACTAACTATATTTGATTTCACAAAATACAAAATATTTTTTTTTCATTTTCAATTGCTTTACTTTTTTAAGTGTGAAATTTTTGTTTTTAGATATATCAAATT